TTTCGTTGGAATTACAGCATTAAAACATCGTCAGATTAACTTGAACCCTTCAGCTAATGAATTACAACAATATTGTTCCCAGCACAAATGTGCAAAATCGAGTCCGAGGACTCACAAGTTTTATTAGGCCGGGTGGCAAAAGGGTCCTTAATGTATCCCTAACTATAAATGTTCGGCTGTATATTATTGTGCATCTGTAATGTCAAAACTTAAGTCCTGTTTTCCTCTTCACAAGCCTGAGGAAAGACACATGGAAGCCCCACTTAGAACACACAAAAACTTTAGGGCAAGTTATTGAGCTGCTCCTTCCAGTTAGCCAACTCAGCAGCGCTCAGGTCAGCGTTACTCCGAGCAATGATCCGTCATACAGGTGTCAACACGTCCATTTCAAAACCAAATCAAACACTTGATATCGTCTCAATGTGACAAACTAACGATCCAAGCACAAAAACATCGCGGAGCTGCTCCTATACTGGCTCTCTGCGCCTCTGAAAATCACATCTAACCTGCTAACGCGCGTTAACGTTAGCTGGTCGAGTGACTTCGAAAAAGTCGCTGATATTTTGACAGTATGATTGTAAGAATATGTCCTAACCGTGGCCCGGTTGTGAATGGGTGTAAATTGGTCGGTTCCAGTCCGTGGTACGCGACGAATTACATCTGTGAGCCGTGAAAAGCTGAGCAGTCGGGCGGTCACGACTGGTACCGCAGCAGCGCCCGGACGCCAGTGTTGTTTGCGTTCAAGAGAAATGTGAAACCAGCCTGTGGGTCGACTTCCTTTGCCTCACTCACACCGAGCTTTAAAATAAAAGTCTTTTAATCATACATAGTTTTAAAAATTAAAGTATAATATGTATATTCGACAAGCAAAGAAAAACGTTTTTTATTATAATAACGTTTTAGGACGTATTCCTATATGTCAGTTGTTTTGTGTTAGGTTAATGAAAGAAACAGAACAAACTCTGAATTGAACCTCATTTGTGTGTGTGTGTGTGTGTGTGTGTGTGTGTGTGTGTGTGTGTGTGTGTGTGTGTGTGTGTGTGTGTGTGTGTGTGTGTGTGTGGTCCTGTTAAACCCTACATTGTGGGATCAAAATATCATTTTTGGTTCCCATGAGGAAAACAGCTTATAAATCAAAAAAGTGATGTATTTTTTAAATGCAAAAATACAGAATTTTCTGTCAGGGTTGTTTAGGGTTAGGTGATAGAATGTACAGTTCACGAGTTCACACGTACATGAAATCTAAAGTTGTATTTATGCTTATTTGGCTTTCTGTCCGGGGGAGGGCTCCGAGCTCCGAGTGTGAGGTGATGGGGTGGTGGAGGGATGCTGAGACTTGTCTGAGACAGGAGGTGAGGAAAAGCTTTATTTATACCGGCTTCCTCTTGAGCTGATTGGTTGATTACCTGAACGTGCTCCTCCCGAACTTTGTTACATAAAACTTCATTTTGTACAGCATAAAAATCATAATTTTTTATCAATGTCCCCATAAAACATGAAAAACCAACATTGTTAGAAATGATACTGTGGCAAGTGTGCGGCCGAGAGCCTTGGGAACGGAGCGAGGCCGGTAGCACGCGCGCCTGTGCACCACACCGGTCTCGAGTCTCATGGAGAAGCACCGGAAGGATAAAGGGAGGAGAGGTGACAGTGACGGACGAGAGAGGACCAAGTATATAACTGCCAGTGTACATTTAAATATCATATAGGCCTACAGTATACACATTACATGAGGCAGTGAAATGCAAACATAAAAATGAGTGCACCTTTAAAGTCGGCATGATTTGAAAATTGCGATGGTCTTGTCTTCACTATTGTGACGCATATCTCTTTGAAACAGCTTCTCGAACAAGAAAAAATGTAGGACAAGACTTGATTTTGTCCATCATTGTTTGGATTGTTGTTGTTTGCTATTGCTTCTAAATGTGGAAGACAGGTTGTCCCACCCTAGCGTCAGTAAACACGTCATCACAGAAGAGATTTTGTTACTGCAAGAGGGAGGGGAAGATATTTTGATTAAAGTTTAGGACACATGGACTTTAAAAAATAATGATGTGCACTAATAAATCATTTGTAATAAACACTGCAATATTCCATAAAGATTAAGAATTGTCGATTTTGATTTTGTGGTGACTTTAAAGGTAGGGTAGGGCATTGTTTTTCATAAACACTTTTTATACTGGTTGCAACTTTCTTCACATCCTGATAGCAATCAAAATTATAAGTGGTCTAAACATATATTTTTTTAAATACATTTATCTTGTGTGGAAGTCTCAGGACCAAAAAATGTTCATCCAGTTATTGCATTTGGTCCGAATACAATGATAGGATGTCGTACCTGCCTGTCAATCTGTATTTCCATACCCAGACATCACACGTGGTTCCATGAAGCTATGCAGAGCTGTAGACAGACGTCAGTCACCGAGCCCCGCAAACAAACAACAGCCAACTTTTACAGTTCCTCCTGAATCAAAACAACCAGCTTATGCTGCTTTTACGCCATGTCGTAATTATGTAATTAAGAAATGGCAACCTGTGACGTTCTACTCTGAGTTGTTCAACTCTTCGCTGCTTTCGACGCGTTTGATATACGTCACCACCACTAGCACACGGATCCCGCTAAACATGCCTGTGTCTTTGGTGCACTTCATGGTGACATTTGGGTACAAAACACACAGGCATCTCGACCTAATTCCTTAGATTATCGCACCGTGATTTGTGGAGGGAAAATGTGTTATGTGGTGACGTCACATATGCGACGTGAAGTCTTTCTCGTTATGTTTATTCCACAACTGCTAGCCAAAGAATCATACAATATACTGTCAAACTCGTTACATGAGAAATTATATAAAAATTCACAGACAACATATGTTCACATTCATGGCATAATTCAAACGTGATCAGAAAATAATTATTTTCTCTCATTCACTTGCATTGACGCTTTTTCAACCTCAAAACTCTAAGTTGTTTACGTTCATGTTATGTGCTTTGAGACATTTAACACTGACTCTGCTCTGGCTGTGCACGTTCATGTGTTTTGGAGGAGCTTTTGGAGACGCTCTGAAGGGAGGGTGGGATCTTATGCTTTCAATTGCTAGCCTCTCTGAAGTTGCCAACCTATACCTTTAAAGGGATCCAATAAAAAAGGAAACACCTGGCTTTTTGTGATTATTGCCAAGTTGCAGATCATTCTCATTTGACATACAGGGAGGGAATTGGGAACTTATGTATCAGGAAAAAGAGCATTGAAACGCCCTAAACAAATCTCACTAAAACAAAAACAAAGACTTTTCATAACCCATATCACTTTAGAAAATAAGTAGCAGGTGAATCTATTACCTTTTCTAACAATTATTGTCCCAATTCTATCAAGTAAAGTCAAATGCACAACAATTGCAAACAAAATGCATAGTAAATGCGGGCAAATATTGTTTCTTAAAGCTCCAGAGGAAGTCAATAAAATAAAATAAAAAAGTTTAATGTACAATACAATACATCCTATGTGCAAGCCAGGTAAACAGTCTATGAAAATGTTAATTGATCATTCATCAGTGGATGGTGAAGTGTTTACTAAAGGTGACTGCAGTATTCTGTTTAGCAGTCTTAAGCATTGACTGCAGACTGAAGCTGTTCCGAAGTCTGATTGGATTAAATATTTCTTTACTGTTTGCCAGATGGTAAGATATAAAATTCAAGACAAGTTATACATTACATTATACATATTTTTATGTCTTATTATTTTGTTGCTTAACTCTATGGCACACATCAGGGACCCCGTTTTAACATCTTAAAAAAAAACATCTAGTCGAAAACACTACGTTAATCAGATATTAGTTGTGTCCGAAATCGCCCCTATACCCTCACATCAATATCAAATTTATTTTACACAGTTCCAGTAGTGGGATTGAATGTGAGATTGAATAAGTGCACTCAATAACGTCCACAATGGTTTCAGACATCCAAATGGCTGTTCCCTCAAATATTAACCTATTTAAAGTCTCTATGAAAAGTTTTTTGGCTTTTAGTATGAATATGTTAGCCTTACTGTTATCTATATTATTATCAAAATTCGCATTTAGAAGACCAAAAATGCAACCATTGCAACCAAAATCATCCCCTGACTGACTACTTTCTACTCAAGAACCTTGACAGAAATGTAGTGGAGTAAAAAGTATGATATTTGTCTTTCAAATGTAGAGAAGTTAAAGTAAAAGGTACAGAGAAAATTATACTCAAGTAAAGTACAGATACTTTTTACAGATAAAAAGTGTATTAAGTACAGTACTCAAGTAAATGTACTTTGTTACTGTCCACCTCTGCATCAGTTTCTGATCATGCCCTTTCATTGGATAGTGAATGAAGGAATGAACACTTTGCTGCCATCTCTAGGCGTTTGGTGGGATAAAAAAGGTGTAAAGCAAAAGAATGCACTTTTTCAGTTTTTGTAAGGAATTGTTGCATGCGATTATGATTATGGTCCCGTTTAGAGGGTCCATTCCCCACCCCCACCCCCCGGTGGCAAGACCCCTTTTCTCTTAAAGACATGATTCGCCCAAAACCGAAAATTCTTGGACACCAACATTCTTTAAAATATCTTCTTTTTGTGTTCAGAAATAAATAAATAAATAAAGGTTTAGAATGATGAACTATCAGATGACAAGGTGAATTTGGCTTTAAAATTATGCCTGTGTTTTTGACCTTTTATGACAAAAAAAAAAAGTAGCCAGGGGCCCTAGTGATCTGCTCGCTCTGTGGGCCCAGGGCCAAGAATGATCAGCTAGCTTTTTGCCATTTTGTAATTTCAAACTTATTTAAAAAAGCAATTTTCTCCATGACAAACTGGTTATCTTGTGAAAAAAAAAAAAAAAAGCAATGAGAAAGAAAAGCATGTTTTGCTGCAGCTACGTTATTTGGGCAGCAATTTGTCACAATTTGTTTGTCATTGGTCTAGGATGATGTCATCTACACAGAAACCCCGCCCCCCATATAGCGCGCTGTCTCATGCACACGCACAGTATACAGAAGCGCACATTGCATTGCGCTAGCGTACACATTGTTATTGTGTTAATTGTCTACACTGATGAAGTCAAGCGTGTTGAACAGTATGAGGATAAACTGCCTGAATGTCATATACTGATGGACATCACCGGATTTTTAAAGTCTAACCCGTACATTAAGGCAGACCATAGATAACCGCAGCTATGTAAATGCCTCGCGGCACTGGAGCGGTATTGTCGCGCGGAGAAACACAAGGATCTAATTTATCCCAAATAATGACGATACAGCGGATGTACAGATTATAACGTAAGTCATTTCTCCTCCTCGTTTTATTTTTGAGGCCTTCATATGCGATGTATCTCTGTGTTTCGTGATAGCTTTAAATAGCTGCTTAATATTTTATTTTCAACAAAATGTCGCCTAGTGAGTAAGTGCGAGCTTTATTGCAGCTATTGTTTATATTAAAAATTCATTATAATAAAATAGTTCATGTTTTGGAGTTTAAAGAAACGCACAAAAAAAATCTACGCAAAACGCTCGAATTGTAATGCAAATAGCCAGCTACATTTGAAATATAACTAGAATAATTTGTCTTAGCACTCATATTGAAATGGTAGTGAAACTGAGCTTAAATGGCACTGGGCTACAGTAAAAGCGCATCCGATTTGCGTGCCTGCATCAGCATGGCCTAACAAGTGACAGTCAATAGCCTACTCAATACAGTTGCAAATATGTAGCGGAATCTCTTGTTTTCTCTTTCATTGACTAGTTTAGGCCTAGATAACATTGTGTTGGTAATCAATATTCTTTTGTGAAACAACTATGTAGGCTAAGCGTTTGTTCAGACGTCGCATTAAGCGCAATTATGCTTGGTCAGTTGTAGAAACATTAGAAACAAAGGCTCCTGATTATGTGATCTCGCTTTCCAGTGAGAGTAACTGGAAATCCAGGAGCTGTGAACGTAATGCCTTTTGACGATGCGCGAAATCATTCCACTGGATTTCACATTCTTATCCTGTTAACCTTTTCCCACAATTTTTATAATGGCTTAAAACAATGAACTCATTTCATTAGGCAAAGAGTTGAGCAAGCCCATGCATCTGTCGCAGACTGTTGACTTGAATGTAAAACATGCCTGGAAATTATCCATGTTAATGTACGCCTGCGCGTAAATGTAGATGCTAAATACATTAATGACGTGAACAGGACTATATGGTATGAGTAGCCTAAATGATTGAAATGCTTGTGTTGGCTATGTGGCCTTTACTTTGTTTAAATAAAGGCTGGTTATGGCGTTTCGAAATGACGAAGAAAAAAAAAAAGAGAGAATCATGATTAGCCTAAGTTATGCACAAATAATTTAAAACAATAAGTCACAGTTTTGACAATAATCGTATTTGATAAAACTTCAATATTCTCATTAGGCTACACATTGAATTGGAGAGTGATTATTCTATTTGACCAAGTGACAAATTTAATTTATTAACATACATAACTCCTTCACTGACACTTTCTTGTCACACGATTTTGTAGGTCACTGGATATGACCAGCAGATGAATATTGAATATAATTTGTTGATCGAGTGTAACATTTCTGCTATGAGTATTAGGAGCTCTGTGATTTAATTCGCCTTAATTTAGCTTTTAAAGAAAAAAATAAAACAAATTCCATTACCTGTTTGTCATCATATCATATCATAAAACTGAAACTTCCTCTTTCTCTATTACGTCCCTGTCACATACGATTTTATAAAGTGGTGGGGACAAAATCAGCAATGGCCATGATGAGCTTTATTTTTTTCTTTCTTGCTGTATGTCAGATGTGCATGTTTTGTTTTCATGGTTCAGTTATCATTTTGCCCCAACATTAGTGTATTTATACACCACACACTGTTCTTTGTGGTGATATCAGTGAAACCTGATCATTGTTTGTAGCTGTGTTAGTGCTCAGTCAGTACCTGAGCTCATCGATGCTGATGCTGTTCATCTCTGAAAGAAGCACATGCTGATGCCAAGCGTGTGCTGCTGTATGTGATTCATTGCAAAAAAAAAAAAAAAACATTACACGTGGTTTGTGTGTGAAATTCTGCTGATAAGGTGTTTAGTAGTGAGTTCAAGTGATTGGAGTGATGTTGACTTGCAATATGACAAATCTGGGTCAATGTAACCACCCACCCCCCTTCACCACCACAGGCTACAAAAGGCAAGACTGAAAAAAGCAAAGAGGATGAGGATACCATCACCAGGCTTTGTGCGTGAATGTATGCATGTGGAAATAAGAGCATGGTGTGCTGGCTCTGTCCTCGGGTCACTCTCTCTGTGTGTGTGTGGCTGTTGTGTTGGGGTATATGTCTGAAGTGCTGTTGTGCATGCCTCGCTCCTACATGAGGTCAATCCAGCCATGTCACATCCTGTAACTGTCCTCTCTGTGCTGCTTTATATTCCCTTTTACACATACGCACACACACTTTTTTCGTTCTCTCCGCTGGTACTTTATTCTTTAAGAAATAACAATGAAAATTATGTTATTATTTACTCATTCTCTTGTTGTTCCAAACCCATATTACTTTCTTTTTTTCCATGGAACACAAACATGAAGTCTATTTTCCATGTTCTATTCCATGCAATAACTATGTAGAAAGACTGAAGCTTTTTTGCGTTATAAAGAATGCAGAACCATTATTAAAATTGTTAAAGGGGAAATGAAGCAGTCAATCAAGTTTACATGATTTACAAGATGGATTTCCACTATAATCCACAACTATATAAGAAACATGACAAATGTAAACATAAAAGAAAAAATAAAAACCGTTATAGAATTCGCCGCCAGGGCGCCACAACCTGTGACGTCACAGGGTTGGTTGGCTTTAGTTTAAAGGCTCTGGGCAGTGAATATCCCGACATCAAACTGTCTACACCACGGTGTTTTGACCGCGAACAACTTAGTGAAGTTTATTAGTACCAGACAAAAAGACGACGTCTAACGTTTTATGTTAACAAACTGCACATGGAAACATTGTTCGTGATGTCTGCCATCATATTCTTGTCTCTTGTCAACACCATGTAAGTTACGTTGCTATGTCGAACAGCCGGTGGTGGTTTGGGGCAAAGAGCGGGTTGGCAACGCTACCTGGTGTCAGTGTGGCTGTTGTACTGCGATGCCCACCGTGTCAGAGTCCATCTGCTGTCAAGAGGCTGATCTTGACCATGTATTGCGTGGTCAATCCTGCATCACCATGGCGCGCACATTTACCATGCTATGCCGGGAGGTAATGTTAGACGTGTTGGAAGTGGCAATGCTTTCCCTGAAGGATGTCAGAGCGGAGACACTTTTTCTAATATATAGCTACTACCAGTGCTAAAACATGGACGTTTCATTTCCCCTTTAACAAATACATGCTAACTTGCATGGTGTTGACAAGAGACAGGAATATGATGGCAGACATCGCGAACAATGTTTCCATGTGCAGTTTGTTAACATATAACGTTAGTTCATGCTTACAGCTGTTAGGTAATAATGACTCTAACGTTAGTTGTTCGCGGTCAAAACACTGTGGTGTAGACAGTTTGATGTCGGGATATTCACTGCCCAGAGCCTTTAAAGCCAACCAAAGCCAACGCTCTAAAGCCAACCAACGCTGTGACATCACAGGTTAGAACAGCCTTTCTCAAAGTGGGTGCCGCGGCACACTGGGGTGCCCCCTGACTTTGTCAGGGGTGCCGCCAAAAAATTACGTAGGCTAAATATATATATATATATATATATATATATATATATATATATATATATATATATATATATATATATATATATTTGAATTTACATAAATACATTCTTCTTCTTTTTAAACATATGAACGTATTAATAAAATTGTAAATTCATTTTAGATAAAATATATATATAAAATTAACCATAAAAATCCGTCTCACAAGACCGAAGCAAGACACACACACAACTTGACGCAAGTGACGCAACCTATAGCAACAACACCGACCGCGCGAACGCGCGTCACACAGCAACTGCAGGCTCTGACAAACACACATACAAACTATACTATACTTCTGCATAACGTGTCTCTTTTTACAACAAAAATGTGAATTCTGCCGGTATTCAGACAGTCCCATGCATACAGATACAGATCCGGCCTACAATCGCCTACGTAGGCGAAATTTGTTTGACATATGATGTTTTATAAACAAAGTTCGGGAGGAGCACGTTCAAATAATCATTCCAATCAACTTGTCATCAAACAATTACCATGTCTACCCTATCAGCACGAAAGGAAGCATATAAATATTCACTCTGTCAACTCACCTAACATTCCTCGACAGTTTCAGCATCCCTCCACCACCCCGACTCCTCACTCTTGGCTTATCTTATTTATTTATTTCACAGCCAGGAATACGGGGGGAGTGCTCTGGGTTCGGGCCGAATACCTAACTCGGAGCCCTCTCCTCGGACAGCACGCCAAATACGCATTTATTCTATCTGACTTATTTGTAAGTGTGAACTCGTGAATTCTAATCGTAAACACAGCCATGTTGAAGCCTGCAGTAATGTTTTTCATTGATGTTATGGCAGTCCACTCTGCTTATTGTTTTTCGAGAATCTTGCACTCCTGTTTGTCATTGTGCACGAAACTTCATGCCAATAAATCATCAGAAATATTGCTGACTTGTGCGCGTCTCAAGCGCACTCTTTACGCTCGTGCTAATGCCTGTTAGTTGTCCGTGGATTTGCCTATTTGGCGCTGAAAATGGAAACGTCTTTAGACATGGAAAATCGATTTTACAATCGATTCAATGAACGTTTATGTCTCAAAAATCGATCAGGATTTTTTCACAAAAGTGATAGCCCTGTAAAGTTGTTATTATTATTGTTATTGTTATTTACAGTTCGTATTATGCTCTGTTCATTACTGTTCTGTCTAAATAAACAGGACATTTGCATTTACATTTGGGTTATGCAGTGTTTTTAATTTATATTTTACACTGGGGTGCCTTGAGATTTTATGCACTTTTGAAAGGTGCCCCGACTGAAAAAAGTTTGAGAAAGGCTGGGTTAGAATAATGCACAATGGTGGCGCCCTGGCGGCGAAAGATATAACGGTTTTTCTTTTTTCTTTTATATGTTTACATTTGTCATGTTTCTTATATAGTTGTGGATTATAGTGGAAATCCATCTTGTAAATCATGTAAACTTGATTGACTGCTTCATTTCCCCTTTAAAGGGTTAGTTCTCCCAAAAATTAAAATTCTGTCATCATTTACTCACCCCCATGTCATTCCAAACAAGGCTTTCGTTCATCTTTGAAACATAAATAAAGACATTTTTGATTAAATCTGAGAGCTTTCTGACGCTTGACGCTTCAAAAAGTTCAGAAAGACATCGTAAAACTAATCTAAATGAATTGAGAGGTTTAGTCCAAATTTTATGAAGAGACTCGATTGGTTTATATGATAAAAGGAATTTAGGCATTGATTCACAAATATAAACACTGATCAGCGAACATAAACAGAAGCTCAACCGAACATACTTGATGCGTGAGAACAAACATCATCGGTTCTTGTGGAAGTTCTCACTTGCTGCGTAACACAGGAGAATGAACCTCATTGGTTCTCGCATGTCAAGCAAACATGCTTGAGCTTCCGTTTACATTAACTGATGCATCCGTTGATGAATGTTTATGTGAATAAAAGCTTAATTTAAATCTGTTCATCATATAAAGCGATATAAATCATATGGATTCGTTTTATGATCTCTTTATGAACTTTTTGAAGCATAAAGTTGCATAGCTGTCAATGGAGGGACAGAAATCTCTCAGATTTCATTAAAAATATCTTAATTTTTGTTCCAAAGATGAATGAAAGTCTTATGGGTTTGGATCGACGTAAGGGTAAATGATGACAGAATTTTTACTTTTGGGTGAATTAACTCTTTAATATATCTTGTACACTATATTCCAAGTCAAACAAAAAATTAAGTCATTATTCAGTCTTCATTTATTGCAATTTCTTGAGCAAAACACATTTTCTTATTTTGTGCACCACTGAAGAAAGAAAGGTTTATGGGTTTGGAGGGTGAGTAAATGATGACTAAATGTTCATTAATAGCTTATCTATTCCTTTAACCTTCTCAATGTCTTTCCATTGACATTCCATAATGTCTAATACTAATGTTTCAAACTGTCATTATTTAGAATAATGAGCTGGTCTACTCTGCTCTGTGGAGGGGTGATTAGTGCAGCCATCAGATTATATCTCTATTCTATTCTATATCAGACAAATTCTAACACTATTCCATTACAAATTATAACATTATTCCATTAAATTCCATTACATGTTTTACTATAATGGATGTCTTCAAGATAAACTCTTTAAATGCCTTTATAATCTTTAGCAAAACCTCTCTTTAACAGTCACGTAGACAAAGTCGATATGTTGCAAGACAATGATGATAACCAAGAATATCAAATTATGTCAATATTTCCCAGATGTGACATCATTACAAAGCTACCCAATTTATACAATTCTTTACATGGTTTGCTTATGTGCTTGTAATGATTATTTTATGCCTTTGATAGATGTGAACCCCTAGCATTTATGTTAACAAAGGTAATGGGTCAGAAAGATTTTTCTGTTACATTAGGATTTGTCTTACTGACAAGTCTGTGATGTACCCTGTGTGCTGTTCTTTATTGTTTCACAGTGTTTAATTATAAGAAAGGTTGTGAATGACTAACAGAAGACTGTCTTCTGTGCTTACCTCATCACAATTGTTGATGTAATTCTGTGTGCTGTGACTAATATTAACTGTATGCACAGTACTCACATAATGTATGTCGTCTATGTACACATTTCTAATTTATTATTAATTTCTAATTACACAAGTACCAAAGTAAATGAGCACTGATTCATTTGCCTTTTTTCTCTCTGCTTCCTAACCACGCAGCTTTGCTCAGCCCCAGATGCCTCCGCTCCCTCTTGACGAGCGTATAGTGGTTATTCAGCGCCCCAAAAGTTTGGCATTGCGCGTGGCCTCCCCACCAGCCACATCGCAGTCTTCCTCCCACCGCCCAGCCAATCACAACGAGCCCCCACCCCGCTTACCACAACCCCAACTCCAACCACCCCGTTCCTATCCAAGTTCCAACTACTTGTCTCTGGAATGCAATCGCAGGCAATCGTCCCATGTTCAGAGAGATAAAGGAGAACGAGGGGCTCCCTTTGAGGGCAGCGGCCACAATGCTAGCCATTGTCACAGCAATGGGATTGTAACTTTAGGTCCCAGACCTCACAACCACACTCATACCATTGACATTAAAGTGTCTTTAGACCAAGGTGGAAGAGGAGGATCTTACATAGACAAAGGCCGCAGCAGTAGTCTTACCCGAAGTGGAAACATCAAGGGGAACAGGACTAAACGGGTGTCCCTGCACTTGGATTCAGGGCAAGGTGAAAGGAAATGCAAAGGAAAGTCTTCCGAGTCAGTGGAGAAGCACCAGAACCATCATCAGAGTCAAAACAGGACTCAGCACAGTATCCATCATCCAAACCAACTTACAGTCTCTCCTGGAGGGATCTTGGAATTTGTTCCTGCCCAAAAACAGCAGTCAAAATCCAAGCCAACCAGAGAGAGAGATTTGTCATCAAAGTCTTGTTCTGCAACTGCCAACTACTCATTGCACAGTGAGAGGGACGGATCATCTTTAGGAAACAAAGAAAACTCCAAACTGGGACCCGGCCACCAACTGCCCCAAGCCCACAGCCTATCCCGTCACCAGAGTTCAGCCCCATTACCCCATGCTGCCATCCTAAGCCCTCACTACCCTGCTGTTCCACCCTCACTCCCTTCCCAAGCCCCTTCCTCCTACCAGCACATTAGCCAACCCCGTCCCTCACGCACTAGAGAACATCGTCCCCAAATTCTTCACGCTTTGCCTCTCTCTCCTACTTCCTCCCGAGGAGGCTTCCCCAGTCCTGACCACACATGTACTATTGACTTTTCCCACCCTTGTGGCTGTTGGAGGTTGGTGCGTTGTAGAAGAGGTAGAGGTAACTCTGCTGGCTACCACGGTCGTAGTACAAGCTCATCCTCTTCGTTTTCCCACGCCCAAGGAACAAGTGCTGCCAACGGAGGTGGCGAAACCATGGGATTGAAGAGTTTAGGAGGGTGTCTGTCAACTGCTTCCACCACCAACACCTCCTCTTCAAACAGCACTGTCTCTGACTGTCGAACAGGGCTGCTCAGACCTTTAGGTTGTGCATCCTGTTCTGGAGAAGCTGGAGGTTTTGAGAGCCCTGCAGCTTTCCGTAAGAAGCTGGTTGGTGGTTGCTTACCCTGTGCTCCCCTGTCCTCATCTGCACCTCTTCGAGCACTCCAGAGTTGTGTCAGTGGGTGCAATCCCAAAGCAAGCCAAACTGGCAGCTCCACATGCAGCTACTGCAGTAGTGACCCTATTGTAGTGACCTTTAACCCACACAGAGGGAATCCTCCCAACATGGGCCGTAATATTGGACCACATACCATGGGAGGATACCAGCCTGATGATGACGATTACAGTGTACGCACAATCTGGCCTGAGGAGTTAGCAAAGAAGATGACTCGTTCTAAAACCCAACCTATCCACCATAATGCAGGGATTGGCATGGGCTCAGGAAGGACTTGCATGGGCCAAAACCAAAATAGTGGCAATAGCGGAAATCCTGTAATCCTTGACTGCCGGAACCTTATGGAGTTCACTCGCTCCCAGTTAACAGATCAGGCAGGACGACGTAGGCTCCAGCAAGGCAAGATGGCAGTTTTGGACTTTATTGGATCAGGGAATAGTGGGGACCAGGGCAGAGATTCCCTCAAGAGGCTATGGAACAAAGGAGCAGATGCTTGCATGGGGGATGGCAACGGGTTTGATGACGAAGTGCTTCCACAATCCCCATCCCTACGATCTCCTTCTCCAAATTCCCCCCCATCCTTCTCTCCCCCACCCTCTGCTCCTAGCACACTTATTAAGCCCAAACCCAAACAGAGAGAGAGGGAAGGTGGACACACCTTACCCTCTGCACAGTCCCTCCACTTGGTCCTCAACTCACTCAACAGAGAACAAGATGAGGAAAATGGACGAGGTAAAGATGCTAATCTGCAAGTACACAGCAGGTTGAGTGACATCTTTATAATGTGTTGTTGATGATCGACCACTCAGAGAGATGAGCACAATCTCTTCACATTGATAATCCCACTTGAATGTACTGACCTTGATTTCATTTTCTCATCTTCCATTAGGCTGTACGACTTTGTGCACTGATAGTATTCAAATTAAAATGATAGTTCAGTTAAGCTGTGGGGTGCATAATCCTCGTTAATTTAGCTTTAAAAGATCGCCAGAGTGACATAACCCATGATGATTTTGTAATGCACAAGTTCAATCGAAATGTTTTTCTGATTAAACCCTTTCTAACTTTAAATCTTTTTCATAGATTTCAGAAGGTTTTATCCTCGCTTTTATGTCTTATTGAAAGTCAAAAATTAAGTTTTGTGGAAGAACTAAAGGATAATAGCCATTATATGGGGGGGAAGAGTGATGAGACTTCAAACAGGAAAGATAAGGAGGATGGATTTCTTCTTACATAAGGGCTTGATGACATTATACTCTGTGCCATATTTAAATGAAAATAATCTAAAAACATTAAAATCCTTTTCCAGCATACCAGCACACCTCTCTAAGATGATCACATAGAGTAAATTATTTAACAATATAAGAAAACAAATGTAAGCAACAGTTTTGTTTTGTTTTGTTTTTGCCAGTGCACCTTTCCCTCCCTCTTTCCTCCTCCCTCCCAGCGTCACTGTCTGAGGAGAGTGTGATGACCCCAGATGTGGAGAATGCTGTGATCAGCCCCATCCTCCCTTTCCTTTTTCTGGGTAACGAGAGAGATGCAGAGGATTTGAATCTACTGCTTCGTCTCAACATTGGTTTCGTGGTCAATGTCACAACCCATCTTCCCCTCTACCACCTGGACACAGGCTTGGTGCGTTATAAAAGGCTCCCTGCTACTGACAACAGCAAGCAGAACCTGCGACAGTACTTTGAAGAGGTTTTTGAGTTTATCGGTAAGAGAACTTGTCAACTCTTTTATAGTTTAAACATTTACAGACCCCATGAAATGGCTTGTCAAATGCAGTTTTCCGTCCTGTGAATACTTTCTTATTTAAGCAGGAGGTGTGGCCGGGATTGTCCCTTTCATTTTTAAATAGCCTTATTGCGTTTAGCAAAGAACTGCAGGTGGTATTACGGGGGCAGGACATTCTGTCATGCAGGAGAGCATTTGATTGGACCAATTTGTGTAGTGCAGGATGAGTCCTCAGTATTTTTGGTTTGTGTTGTTTTTGATGTCTGCTACACCTTTTTTTTTTTTTTTCAGAGGAAGCGCACCAGTGTGGGCGAGGTGTTCTTGTGCACTGCCAAGCAGGTGTGTCCCGCTCAGCGACTATTGTCATTGCTTACCTGATGAAGCACACCCTCATGACCATGACAGATGCCTATAAGTATGTGCGGGGTCGGCGACCAATAGTCTCCCCCAACCTCAACTTCATGGGCCAGCTGCTAGAGTTTGAGAGAGACCTCAACTCTGGGGTAACACCTCGCATCCTCACCCCCAAACTGAGTGGCCTGGAAACACAAGTTTAAAAGAGTGGACCAAGAAAGAAAAAAGAAAACAAGAGGGGAGAAGGAGATAAATAGAAGATGGAATTAATGGAGAGAAATGACTGGATAGAAAATGAGGGTATGATTAAAGCTGTTTAACAAAAACAAATAGTTGAGATAATATAAATAACCAGAAGATGAAAGCAGTTTAAAAGAAATCGAGAAAAAGAGTCTTTGGTCTATTTTAATTGAAGAACCTCCGCTCTTTTAAATATAAATAGCACTTATATTATTTGGCAAATGGATATTTGACCTACCCACCCTGATATTCTGTTAATGATGTGCCAAGTTTTAATTCAAAATAACTCAATTCACTTAAATTATTATTGTATTATTATTATCAAGTTTGGTTAAATACAAAAGTTATATAAGATTATTTGGGGGGGGGGGGGGGGGGGGGGGGGGGGGGGAAATGCAATCAAAGTACTCTATGGCTGTCAAGCACAGACAAATATTCAATGTGTTGAGACTCTCAGAACTGTGACGTGCATCACATTCGAGACCCAAGAACTGTAGCAAACTTCAAACTCCTTTCCCACTGTGCACAGAACTTTTCTAGACAGATTATTTTTGATTTGGGAGCTCATTTGAAAGTGCTTTTTTGAGTTACTTTTGTGTTAGCTGAATGCCAACTATTTATAAATTTCTCCACTGACATGAAGATTCATTTTGCCTTTGATATTTTTTCGATACTGCTATTTTTGTTACTTGATTTTACTTATTGAATCCTTCATCTTAGTGTCTTTGTGTGGGAGGTGTGCAATAGAGACTGATGTTGATGTGGAAGTGGAACTGATTTCATTTATTTTTCGCTCTGACATTGTTTCACTAATGGACATTTTTCATGGGACATGAACCAGCCACTATAATGGCAGATAAAATCCAAAAATCATATTTTTTTCTATTTCTTGTTTATGATATTGGACAGAGGGCAATTTGTATAAAGCACTGTGTAATGGGAAAAAAAAGCAAAAGTGCACAATAAGACCATACAATAGCTTTTTTTATTCTCTTTTTTATTTTACTGACTAGTTATTTAACTTTGTGCAGGCAGTGCAACGGCTTAAATTTACACATTTAATTTGATTTTTGTGCTTTCTATGTCTTATTGCTGTCTTTTTTGTGCTGCAAATGGTGTTTTGAAATTATGAGGAGAAAGATCATGTTGAATCGAACGCAAAACCTATTTTACATTTTTAATAAGGGATATCTACACTGTTGATTACTGTGCAAAATTACTGTGACTGGATTGGGCCAAGTCATCATAATGAATCTCTCTCTTCTGTATGGTTTGAATTTGCATTTTAGAATTGCACATCAAGGTGACAAGTAGATATTTTTTAGTTTATGCAAAATCAGCAAAGTACCACGACGGTAGTGTGCAGATGTAGCTAAAACTGTGCTTTCTGTCATTTGGTATTCAGTTCAAGGCATAAGAAAAAGGAACACCCTTATCCTTTAATGCCGGCACTATTTTTAAACACCCTGCCTAATTTGACCATGATCAGATTTTAGTGCTCTCATGACTGTAGGCAAACAATCTGGTTTTGAATTACGTACCACAAAGGAAACCAGAGCCCCTTCCTCCATTTGAATTTTTCCTTCATTTTCCTACCTTCGTTTTTCTTTCTCTATGTTCTCTTAGAGACTATGCATTGTTATTGGAATACATTCTGTGAAAAAGACTTGGTTCACTCAGTTCACTGTGAAACACATTCTTCTTCCTGCATGCTGTCAAGTTCTCAGCCTTGGTCCCTGAAGCCTATTCTCATCAGTCTTGACAAGCGAGGAGTTTGTCTGCCATCTCTGAGCTCTTATCTGCCTCACTGAGCCATTGGGCCTTCACACACCACTGCTGTGTCTCCATTAATTTACTCTGCCCAGCAGTGCATGACAAAGTATACTATTTTGCATTTCAGTTCAAATATGCTCCAGTTCAAACCCCCCTATAGTACCATAGGTGTCTTCTTATAGGTACAAGACCACAGAAATGCCCCCCAAACCTGCTGATCCATCTAAATCCGAGTGCACACTGTACAATTTATAATAGTACTTTCTGACTGTTGCTTGTCAGACTGTACGAATATGATTCCTGCTATAAGCCGTGTCACACAGTAGGATCTCAGCTGTCATTACTGTCAAACTGTACGGCAGTTCAAGACGTGTTAAAACGGACGCACACAAAAAGACTCGTCCAGAGTTTTACATCATCAATCCGTGACACGTTCAGTGACATGAGCTGCATTTACATGTGGGATAGAAATGGTGACTAGCAAACAATCTCTAGTGTTAGTATTGATCATGGCTTTTCTTAAAGAAAACCGGAAGAAACGTGTGTGTGTGTGTGGAGCAAGTGGTGGTTGTTTGTTGTCTCACTTATTGCGTCATGAGGTTCTGCGCTCCTATTGGTTTTTTATTTGACGGTTTTCATAGGAGAAGCCACACTGCATGACTGCACCTCAAAACTTCTGACACTGCCTGAATTTTGTAAGATTTGATCGCAATGGCTGTCAGCGAACATTTGAAACTAGCAATCAGAGGAATATTTTAGGATACACAAAATTTGACTCAGCAGGCCAAATCATGCCCAATATCATGAAGTCTGAACCCGGTTTAAGATGGCTGTTATGAACGACCAATTCAGTGCCATTGCTTTGTTATTTTAGGGTCAGCTGCTGCTTGTATTTGTCATACCGTGACATGCTGACTGTTTTATTCTGTCTCTTTCTGCTGACAGTGTTTTTGTCTGACACTGTAGCTTGATTATGCCCATAGGAAACGATTAGGTAAGCAACACCTAATAAATAGGTGTCAGTGAGTTGACAGAGTGCTGATAAATCAGACAAATTCTAATCTATAAGGCAGGATAAGGCAAAAAAAAAAATCAAAATCTTTAATTCCTGAGTTTGAATTTGGTTTGAATTGACCACATGACAGCATATTGAATTGAAATGACATGGAGGAATTCAACACAGAAATTTAACACACAGTTTACAGTACATGCCCTGGCGAAATTAACTACTGACTATTTTCATTGGTAAACAGATCCTTTGGTATCTGGCATGAGGTACCTTCTTCTTCCATTATTTCTTGTCTCATTTAGTTTACCATTTCAAAAAACTGCCAGATCCCCCCACCCCATCCCCCATTCCCGCATGAGTAAATGTATGAAATGTATTATAAGCGAAAAAGTAATGCCAGGGATGCCTTTTGGTACAATAACCGTCTTCCGAGTCAATGTAGCACCTATCAATGGAAAGAAAATTAAGCACTTGGAAGTCTTGTAAATGTTTTGTTTTGGATTTGTTTTGCTCTGTGTTATATCTGTTTGCGCAAATGTGTATGTGTGTGTGTGGACACAAGAAGAGAATCTGTGTGCTAGACATGTTGAGACACACGAGTAATGTGAGTCCAACCTTCCTACCATTTCTATCAAGAATCCCAACCTCAGGCCTGTTAAATGTCCATTGGCACAACTCAAGCTTCGCTGTTAGCTTGCATTTGTCAATGCCATGAGCCACTGCTGTATGCCTTCTTTAACCTAGATTTGCTCTTCCAGACATTGGGGGAAATTTACCTCTTTGTACATTCAATCATACCTTTCACTGTAGAAACAAATACCAGAATCACCTGGCAACACTGAATGAATAGCACTGGACATCATAGATTGGGTGAATCGCTGTTGGCTGTCCACATCTTGAGAATCTCAGTGTACGAAAGCTGAATTTGTTTATAAAATGTGTGCAAAGCGTTGGAACTGGATACTATATATGACCAGTGTTTCCTGTGTTGAATAATCTTATATACAATATATGGTTTGCACATAGAAATGAACTAAATGTAAAGTTTTGTGTAAAATTAGTTTGTAAGTTTGTGAATTGATTCTTTCTGTGAATTTATTCATGTATGTGATGCTTGTTCTTTTTTTAAATTATTATTATTACTATTGTTATTATTATCTAATTTTTGTGCCAAATATTGAAATGAAGGTTGGCTTTGAAGGTTGGCATCTTTAATATTGACAAAAAGAAGTGCCCTCTAGGATAAAACATGTTTGAACTGCTCAGTTATCAGTGTCTTACCTTGTTCCCCGGCGATATGATGTTGTCATACTCTGTTACTGTAACTTTACACTTTACCTGCAGATTTTCTTACCTAAACTGCTAAATTGCTCATTGAAGATGTTATATTTTCACATGTTCATTTTTGTTTGATCATGGCAATTTTATCAGTGACTCTTTGGATAGAGGTTTATAGAGATCCCTCAAGGGTTGTACTTTGATGTACTTTGAATGCATGTTGCTCCAAACTGACCTTCCAGTCTTCTCTCCCCTTCCTACTGACTCAGCCGTTCTCCCCTGTGAGAATTCAGTGCCCACGCTGCTTCAGAGAGAAGACGGACATGGCAGCCTGTGTTGGTTTGACCATATACTTGTGTGTACTTCAGTTTTTATCACTGACAAATGATGGGGCTTCATCCTTTTTCCTGTTTAAAACTTTACTGTGAGAGACTGTGATACTGTTGTGAAGCAAAAACGATTAAAAGTGTTAGACTGATCCTTGCCGGTAATGACTATGAGAATAACGTACCTCTAAAAAAAAAAAAAGATCGGCTTGTTACAGAATTATTCATCGATATGATGTTCTTGCAAAGCTAAAATGATTTGTCGAAATAAATTTTTTTACAACAAATTGGCCATGCTGCAGTGTTTCTCTGCTTGTGACACAAAACAAATGTGGTATCTTGTTGCATTAGTCAAACACTCCCATAACCCCACCCTAACCAGGACCAGTTCATTCAGAACCAGGGATGTTGGTTTGGAAATTATTGGTTATTAAAGTATAGTCAATGAGCTGTCAGATTACCATTGACAAATCAGCAGTGTAGCCCACTACATAATTGTTAGCTGCTGTGTTGTGCGACTGCGCTGTGATTTGGCACCCCAAGGGCTTGGATCAATAGTCAGCATGGTCTAATACAGGACACCTATCATATCAAAGTGAAACCTAGGTGCTGCCCTCTCCGGGAGAGACCTCTCTGGACTCGGTTTGCATTGGCTTTTCGGCGGCGTCCTTGTTGCAATCTAATCTACTCCTCCTATAGGGATCCCTCCTGTGACTTGCAGGCCACTTCAGCGTTAACGTCAAGATGATAGAACAAAGCTGAAATGGTAGTGTGCCTGAGGGATGAGGAAAGAAACTGGGGCAAAGGCTTTTAGAGTGTGTGTGGAATCGTGTGCACATGTGAGAGGCCAGCATAAGAATGCTCAAGGCAACGCTGCTGATCCGTGTCCCCAAAATCTCCATGTAATATTGGTGAAACTTGATGACTCAATTGTGTAGCCTGGTCTTGAGGGCATGAATGTAGAGTAATAAAATAAGTGCATTTGATTTTACTGCAAGTTCTCTATAATAATTAGACGATGATAACTGTACAACAGCTAGCTCCAGTTGAATTTGATTGGTTGAGGGTTGTTCCAAGAGTGCTTATATAGGCCAGACACATACTTAACACAAGTTAGCAAGCATTTGTGAGTGCTTGACCAGTGCACATACTTGCGCTTGATTATGAATTGTGTGCCCGACACATTTTGGAATGCAACGGTGACGCTAGAATCTAAAGCAAGCTAAACCTGCCAAGTGCTTGCTGGCCATACAATCCAAAAGACAGACTGCAAGTCTGTTCATCAGTGGTGGAGACTTTTCAGTGAATCTTTCTGCAGGTTAGCCTAAATAGTTAATTCAGTAGGTGAATAAATCATTGATTCAATGATTTGTTCAAAAACATTGATTCCTTCAGAAACTAAAGTGATTGTGACTGAATTCAGAATAGCTTATTACTACTCTCAATATTTCTCCCATATCATTGGCACAGATAGAGTATGCTATTTTGAATTCAGCCAGTCTTTGAGTGAGTCAGTGAATCGTTCACTTAAGGGAATCGTTCAAATCACTGATTGATTCAGGAACAAACACCACAAATGTGTGTTGCACGGGGACGCAAAATTGTTTAATCTGCTTTGTTCTAAACTATTTTCATTAAGTAAATAGCAAGCAATATTGTGTCACTCAGAAATGACTTCTGTGTTGTTTTGAATTATGTGATTACCTGCAGCTGAATCACAGCCATGTTGATATTCAGGCCAACAGCTGTCTCTCATGTGATATTTCTAAATTCTATATTCTTTGCTTGGAAAAATGACTTAATCATTCTTACTTAATGATAACTTTGTATACCTCCAATAAGGAAGAATTCAGTCATTGTGATTCAAGGCACGTTTCACTAAATCTCTCTAGAGTCATCAAACATGTTGCCCAGCAACACTTTTTTTTAGGTGTAGCCTATAGGAAGCATCACTGATCAAGCAAAACACATTGTAAGCTCAACATTTCTGCTGAAACTGACATGTAATATCTCAGTCCAGGAGTTTTACAAATGTCAGAAGGCCCATGGGTATAATGCAGCGATTATGCAAAAAGGCTTTACATGTAACATTGGTGGGTGTGGCTTATCTGCCACCTCAAATCACCTGTGGCATGCAAATGTTCTCATTTAGTATCTGCACCTGTGAAGACATTGAGAGGCAATCCTGCTCTATGGTTTAATTTCAACACCCCACCAACAGAACCAGGATATAATGTTTGCAGAAGAAAAGGCCAATTTAATATTTACGCATTCCTGACGCCGTACACAACCAGCATGGAAAGACACCGGGGACCTCTGAGGACTTGTCAAGAAAGAATGGGAACTGCATGGGGAGAAAATTCTAGATAACTGACAGAAGTTTGCTACAACCATCAGAGCAACTGAACCTCTAATCTGAAGGTATTGTGAATGACTTCTCTACAGTATTACAGAGGATTTTTGTAAGATAATACATTAGCTTTCAGTTATATGAATATGTTGAATATGTCACTTCAGCTAAAAAGGTGAAAATATATTATTAAAAATGTGGTTTTTTTTATTTAATTATTTGTGTTATGTACTATTACTAATGTATTGAGTAAATTTATTATGCATTTTCTGAGTAGGCCTACAGCTGTACCAAGTATGTCTGAAATATTATGAAATTCCAAAATGTTGTGGGAAATAGTTTTCTCTGTAGAAATATTTTCCTGGTAAAAAAATAAATAAATAAAACTGGATTATTATTTTTTTGCCATCCCAGATTAGTGTGCTTCAGTTGGCCAAGGGAAGATAAATGAAATAGTGCTGTAAGCAAGGCTTTTCCATATGCAGAGTAAATGTTGTGGTCTTAAAGTACATGATGTAAATATCATGTAGGATGCTATGGATGTTGCCTGGTCAGGCGCACATAACGAGTCTCACGAGGAAAAACCATGGAGACGGATTTCTTCAGAGACTTCCTCCTAGTGGCAGAAGCACTAGTATTTTGCTCTAATAAAAACAGCTTGGCCTGTCTGAGATTTCTCATCTGTAATTCACTGAAATTTGATGGGGTGTATTAAATATCCATTTACACTACTTCTCAATGTTTCCCATTCTCTTCCAGTCCATGGCACGCTCCAGGTGTAATGGAAAGATCCTATGTCTGTGTCTCTTGCCTTGTGTGATGGTAAGTCACCTGTTGATCTACATCATGGTGTCCATATTTGTAGCCGTATCCTACTCCCCTCCTCTACCGCAGCAGCTCCCCCTCCATTTCATTGCCACCGGAGCCTCTTCAAACTCGGGAGCTCTTGCATCCCATCCAGTTCGGCCCTTCTGGAATCTCAGATTAGAGGACGGGGCACTGTGGAACCGCCTCCAGCACATTTGGGACAGAGAACACAACCCCATATTGAGAGGTAACTACACAAGGTACAAAGGTCCAAGCCTTGATGCAATACAACCCCAAGAGATGGGAAAAACTGGTGCTTGTGAACAAAACGAGACTTGGGCGTCTCACCTGCCCGATTTTAACACCCTTCCAGAACAAATGAAGGATTTTGTCCTGTCCATGCACTGTAGGCGTTACGCTATCCTTCTGGACCAACCCAACCTGTGTTTCGGGCAGGACTCTGAAACGCTGTTCCTTCTGATGGCGATTAAGTCACAAGTTGGAAACTTTGAGAACAGACAGGCCATCCGAGAGACATGGGGAAGGAGCGGCTGGATCCAAGGGGACGGCAGAGGAAGAGGCTGGTTCATACGCACTGTCTTCTTGCTTGCGAGGCAGGACACAGAGACAGGGCCTCATCCGGACCTGAGTGCCCTATTGAAGTTGGAGAGCAGCACCCATAAGGACATCCTGCAGTGGGATTTCAAAGACACTTTCTTCAACCTCACCCTGAAGGATGTCCTCTTCTGGGACTGGTTTTCACAACACTGCCCTCATGTCCACTTCATTTTCAAGGGAGATGATGATGTGTTCGTTAGGACTAAGGCTCTGCTGGACTACTTAGACCATGTTGGAGTACAAAAAACACTTCAAAATAAAATGAAAGGATGGGACGATTTCATTGTAGGGGATGTTATTGCCAATGCCTGGCCCAATCGGCAGCCTTATACTAAATATTACATACCCGAAAGCTTCTATAAGGGATCGTATCCCGCGTATGCAGGAGGTGGAGGGGTGGTTTACTCTGGTGCTTTGGCCATGCATCTGCAGGAGGTCTCACGTTGGGTCAGCTTGTTTCCCATTGACGATGTTTACTTAGGAATGTGCCTTCACAGGCTCGGCGTATCCCCCACTCATCATTCGGGTTTCCTCACCTTCGACCTTCCAGAGGATCTGCGGGAAAAGCCGTGTGCATATCATAATGTTCTCCTAGTGCATAAACGCACCCCAAAAGAAATGTTAACTCTGTGGAAAGAGCTGCTGGTTCCTCCACAGGAGTGCTAGTGTAAAGCAGGGCAGCTTGTTCATAAATTCAAATGAAGGTAAATGATGCAGCAGGGACCCAGACTTCAAAGTTATTTTCGTTATCACTACAAGGTATTTTCATGCCAATTGGGTGTGTTAATTTGCATAAAAAGGCCTTTGTTTTTCTCTGATGTTGAGCTGTGTGTGCAGTGGTCATTATGAGAATATCAAATTAGTATGGCAAGACAGCTGACAAGCTAAAAATGGCATTGGAAGTCACAATGGTTGACTTCACAAGAGAGGGTTCTTGTGGAATGGCTCTTGTTTTATGGGAATAAGAATGACTATAATGGACAATTAAGGAGTCTCTTATTTTTTTATATTAAGATTAGAGGTTTGTGGCCCATAATGGAGCAAATCAAAAACTGTCATGAACATATTTCCGCTTTGTATTTAATTAAAAAGCTATGGAACTTTGTTAAAAACAAAACAAAAGCTTTATTTTATTTGAAATGTGTCCGGGAATTTTTTTTAGAATGTTTTTAGACAATATTTTTACACTCGGAATCTATATTTTTTGCTCTGTGTCAGTTTTACATAATATATGTCATTTTCCTTTGTTTTGCAAGAATTGCCAATGTGGAAATGGAGTATCTGGACTCCATTTTGGAGAGGCAAAATGATCTGGATGCCTGAACACCCTACAGACATTGTCATCTGGTTTAGGCCTTGTGGGCCTAATTATAGCCTGGTGTTGTTGGAGGCATACTGAATTACAACAACAAAACATAATAATGGGAAATAATGAATGATAATAATGAACAATGATTTGTTCGAATGACAATAATGAAATATGATTTGTTCGATTGGTCACAGAATTTAAGCCGACTTTAATAATAAAGTATACTTTAAATGTTTGTACATTGGTCCGATTCATGTAATTGAATGGTTAAGAGCATTTTTTGATCTCAGAATTTCATTATGTTTGTTTCACTTATTATTATAATCTCTGTGTTTTCATTTGCCTTGAATGGCTCACTGTCAATGTATGTTTATTATTATTGAGTGGAAATATCCCTCTTCATTTTTGTTTGATCAGAAAGTCACCTTCCTCCTCCAAATGTTTGTTAGTAATCATGCCAAAAGAAGCTTGTATATTCTTACTCAAGTAAAGACAGACATTGAAGTAAAAGATGTTAACCTCTATTAGTTAAACTGTTGTTGTTTTTTTCACCAAAGAAAGTGTGTGTGTGTGTGTGTCACTGTCACATATATTATATAATCAAACTTTTATTATATAATCAAACTTTTATTTTAGAATCGATTAATCACAATTAATTGATTTGACAGATAGATAGACAGACACATATATAATTTAGAATTTTTTAGAATTCACACATGTAACACATATTATATAAAAACACTTTTGACAGCACAGATAGATAGATAGATAGATAGATAGATAGATAGATAGATAGATAGATAGATAGATAGACAGACACATAATTTAGAATTTATTAGAATTCTTTGCATACAAATTATATATGTCTGTGTTCATCTCTACTTTCTTTCAACAATAATTTGTATTTTTGTGTGGAGTTTCTTCTCACCTTAATTTGCTCAATAGGGATGTGACTGTGAGGTACTATTTTCTGTAAAAATCCTTATTATAATGCTCACAATATTTATTGTGAAAAGTACTGAACTACAAATCTTTCTCCTCAAGCTCATATATCTACTACCATTAATAAATTTAAAGCATGTTATAGTATAGTAGGCCTAGTGTTTTACAAATAGCCTAGCCTATTTGACTTTATTGAACGGTTGTAATGGCCATTTTATTAATTTAGCATTTTGCGAACAATTAGATTTACATGTTACAAAAAAGTTATTACTATACTTTCTCATAATATTATTCTCATACCATTTAAATGAGGTTTTGCCATAGACTTAATAAAACGGGTTAAAACTGCGTTGTACAGACCAACAGCTTCCATACTAGTAGGTGGCGCTAAAACACCCTCTTAGTCCATTTAACCCGGAAGTTGTCAGAGCAGCACGGCGTTCATCATACGATCGCGTTATTGCGGTAGTCGTGTTTTTTTGTGTGTTTACATTTTCAACAAGAATAAATGCGAAATAATGCGTTAAAACCCCGATAATAGAATCTGGACCTGATACTACGATGTCTTTGTAATGTTGATATTAGTTAAATAGTTACCTGTTTGCCGTGTTATACTCAACTAAAGTGCATTAGTTAGAGAGACGCAAATAAGTTAGCACATTTAGTCCGTAAACAGAACCGAAATGGGTTCATCAAAGAAACACAAAGAAAAGGAGAAAGACCGGGATCCCGAGGATCGGCACCGTGAGCACAAGAAACACCGTCACAAGGATCGAGACAAGGAGAAGGAGAAGGACCGAGATCGAGAGAAGAGAAAGAGATCCCGATCCAGAGAGAGGAGCAGCCGGGGAGCAGAGAGAGACAGAAGCGGGAGAGCAGAGAGGAGCAATGCAGAGCCGCGAGTCAAGAAAGAGAGGCTTGATCCTGCTTTCGAGGACAACAGCGGTCAGTCATCCTGTCCACCCCGTAGTTTCTGACAAACTACCATAATTACTACAGTAAAACTGTGTTGACTAGGTGTTCTGCTATACTGTCATCAAATGAAAATGTAGACAGCATGTTTGAGCCTTATACAGACCTGGTTTCACAGACAGGGCTTAGATTAAGCCAGGATAAGGCCTTTGTTCAATTAGGACATTTACGTAGCTTTTATAAACGCGCCTTAGAAAATAACATTACTGATGTGCTTCTTGAGACAAAACAATGGCACTGCCATATTTAAAAATATGTCGGTGAAAGTTGCTTTCAGTTAAAACGGCTTAAACATGCATTTCAGTCTGGGAAACTGCCTGGGCAGCCTTCATCTTATCCTCATTCCTTACTAAAATTCACCATAGTAGCCCATACATTTCTTTGTCCTACTACATTTATGGCATGCAATAATCTTTAAGGCCTTGGTAGGCCTTGACATTGTACTGTATTCATGTATGTCAACATCTTGTGTTGCAGAGCCAGGTCCCAAATCTGCTGGTGGTGATGCTTCGCTCAGCATTGAAGAGACCAAGTATGTTTTGTAGAATACTGTCTTTTGTAATTATGGGAGGGGAAGGTATAATTAATTTAAATGCATGTATGGTATATTACTAAATGCTATTACTCTTTGTTTTGCAGTAAACTAAGGGCCAAACTAGGTTTAAAACCCCTTGATCTCAATGAAAACAAGAAAGGTAAGAATTTGATGGTCATGTTACATCAAAGTGCTGTTTTATACACTACTGTTTACATTTTGGACACAGTAAGATTTTATTTACAACAAAAAACTTATTAGGCAATGATTCATTAAAGGGGTCATGAACTGCATTTTTTTAAACAATGTTTCCTGAGGTGTACTTATAATCTTAGTATGATTTACATGTCCTAATTTAGAAATAAAAGGCCATTTTCTACCCTGATTTGAATGTTGTTTCTGATATGAGACTCCAGTGTAAACGCCCACTGTTATTAGCTAACATCTTTGCATATGAAATAAGTATTACATGTGAAAATCTCTCGAAATTTTTTACTACGTTTTTACTATTACAACTGTTGAGATTAACTAATTGGGCGTTGATTATAGCATTATATTCAGATCTACTTTCGTCGCATGAAAGATTGCAGTCATGAGCATTGTAGCCGTTGATCTCGTCAATGCAACCTGATTTCTGCACTCCCACGAATGCTTTCATCATAACTAACAGTTCAAACATGATGTAAATAAGAGATTCATTGTGCAGTGCAGACAGCGCCATTGATTATAACGAGAGTTTTGGCAAAACTCCTTTGGCGAATGTTTCCTGAGCAGCAAATCAACATATCAGAATGATTACTGAAGGATCATGTGACACTGAAGACTGGAGTAAAGATGCTGAAAACTCTGCTTTGTAATATTACGTTTTATTACTAATAAATTAACATTTTAAATATATTAAAATAGAAAAAAAGTTATTTTAAGTTGTAGTAATATTTCATAATATCACCGTTTCTACGGTATTTTTCATCAAATAAATGCGGCCTTAGGCACGAGAATTTCAAAAACATAAAAAATCTTTTTGACCCAAACTATAGAACGTTAGTGTACGTATTTGCTTTATTGTACGCATGGTTTTAAATGCAATCTTATTTGAAGCATTTCTTTCTAAATCTATGATTGTTTGACGGTTCCTCAGAGACTGGAACCAAGGAGGAGCCCCTCGTGGCTGAGACCATTAATCCTGTCCACATCAAACAGCAGGCTGAGATTAGAGAGAAACTGGCTGCTCTCAAAGAGAAGCGTCTACTCAATAAGAAACTGGGGTAGGATATTGTTGCCACCTGCAATGGATAATAACTTTCAATATTGTAATTCTATGTTATTCAAACTAAATCAAATGCTAAATTGTACTAATATCCGTCTCTTTGTTGTTTTGTTTTCAGGAAGGTGAAGGCGCTTGGGGATGATGAACCATGGCTGGACGACACAGCAGCCTGGGTAGAGAGGAGTCGCAAACTAGCCAAGGAGAAGGAGTTGGCAGAGAAGAGGGTGAGAATAGACCGTTGTGGAGGCAACCAGATGGCTAGCTTTGTCTCGCTTTTCCTTTATCTGTGTTTTTATTTTGTCTTCTGTGTAATCCCTCTCTTAACAGGCCAAACTCCTAGAGGAGATGGACGAAGAGTTCGGTGTGAGCAATCTGGTCGAGCAGGAGTTTGCACAGGAAAAGAGGGTGTGTGAGCCAAGTGCCCCAAGACAACATTTTAAAGGCCCCCTAAAATATTTCTGTTACTTCTGCTGTAATGAAAAATCTACTCATTTTTTACACTTGCTGGTTATTAAAGTCATATTATAATATATAAATATGATATAAAATAAATGTAATTCTAGATCATTCCAGAAGCTTCAATGAGTTGCTGATTTTATTTTATTTTTTTACTCCCAGATAGTAGTTTCTACCCAATACAATATTTCAGAGATTGGCATAACTAGAAAATTATATTCATACTCATTAATTTTCTTAAGATTTTATTAATGTACATTACTTTTCCATGTTTAGAAATCCTCAAATGCAAGTTTTCCAAGATAGTGGGAATCCTGGTCTCTTAAATAAATGTGATGTTTGTTGAGGGGGTGAATTAACATAAGAAATATCTTGATGTTTAACTGTTTTAGTTTATTTTAACATTTATTTATTCTTATTTTAAATAATTTTAAGTCATCTGGGACCTTAACCAGCAGTGAGATGCACTAGCTTTGATCATGTAACTGTTGTTGATGAAAAGGTTTATTTTATTTATATAAATATATATATATATATATATTAGTATTGCATATCCATTTATGTATTACTTCAGTTTAGCTGTTTTACTGAACAGGACTCGTACGGCTCACGCCATCTCAAAGGGCTCAAGGTTCAACACAAGATGGACTCTTTCAGAGAGGGAGAAACGGTTGTATTAACTCTACAAGACAAAGGTAAGCTAACATGATGATGGTGAGAATGGGTAAATGTTCTGTTGCTGTAGATGAATAAGCATCTGCTAAATCACTGACAGCACCTACACGCGCACTCACGGTTTCTCTGTGTGGGTGATTTTCACAGGTGTTCTGGAGGAGAAGGAGGACGTGCTGGTGAATGTGGGTCTGGTGGACAAAGAGAAAGCAGAGAAAAATGTGGAGCTGAAGAAAAAGAAGCCAGATTATAAACCTTATGAAGAAGAGGAGAGTGTGGATGACATGCTCGTTGTAAGATCGCCTGTTAACTTTGAAATTTCAAATTCGCTAGATGCATTAAAATATATTTAGGGTGCTTTCTCACTAGCACTTTTTTGTGCGCACCTGGGTTCAATTGACGTCAGAGTTCGGTTGTTTGGATGATGTGAACGCTGTTTTCCGAACTCTATTGCGCACCCGTGATCCGTACCAGAGGTCGCATTAAAAGGGTGGTCGGATACGCTTCATGTGAACTCCAGTACGGTACCCTGCTGAAACGAATGGAATCGTACTAAAACAATTTTTGCGGTACATTTGTGACGGATAGACGCAAGTGCCATTATGTGCTGATGCTTTGGAAACAAAAACAAAGGTTAAAAAAAATAAAATCGGGCAATCGAACTCTGTTCCGGACCAGGCAATCAAACCAAGTGTGAAAGCACCCTTAAAGAATCTCACCTGGTAACAAATTAGCACTTGACGTCACACTGCCTGAACAGTTTGCTTGGAATTTGGCATCACAACATTATAATGTAAAGTTGAGGCAATGAGCAAAAAAATCTCCTCTATTAAAACACCACTGATATTGGCTGATAGCACTGTGCGCTTCTGTCTTTCTTAAACGTAACATTCTTATGTCTTCTTTTAATTCTTTCCAGCTCAAGCCAAAGTCTGTGCTGTCCAAGTACGATGAGGAGATCGAGGGAGAGAAGAAGAAGAGTTTCAGGCTGAGTTCTGGAGGTTTTGTCGGGGGTGAGAGAGAGCGAGAGCTGCAGGCCATCAGAGAAAACCTGCACAATCAGGCCCAGTCTCTGGACATGCCCTCTCTCAGCCTCGCCACTGAATACTACACGCCACAGGAAATGGTGAGAAATACGTTTGTTTAAGTGCACTCGGTTTTAAGTTTGATGTCATTCTTGACTGATTGTTTTGGCGTGTCACATCAGGTTGGCTTTAAGAAGACCAAACGCAAAGTCAAGAAAATCAGAAAGAAGGAGAGGGCTGGTGACCTCTTGATTGACGACACTCGAAGCACAGATTTTGGCTCCAGGTAAAGCCTTTACTTGCTTGCTGTTGAATACTACAGCGACACCACTGTTATTTCAACCCCAAACCGATTCTGGCACTCAGGTCTCGAGGTCGAGGTAGAAGGCAAGATGAGGAGGAGGAGGAGGGGGCGGAGCCTGGATATGTTGCTTTGGAAACCAGCAGCAAGCCCAGGGATGTCCTCCAACAGTCGGATGACATTAGAATGGCCGACATGGACATTAGTGATGAAGGTAACAGAACTTTTTAATGATTTTTCATTTTCTGAAGGCATCCTTTTCTGTCTGTGGGGCTTCCCTTTGAAATTCAAATGAATTGCATCAGTATTCTCTGCACTCACTCTTTCTCCTTGTCTTTCCCAGAGGACTTTGTCTCTCCAGAGCCTACTGCATTTGAAGAGGATGAAGCAGAGCAGGAGCTCCAGAAACAACTTGAGAAACAGAGGAAACTCAGGCAAAAACAGATGCTCAAAGACTCAGGAGAGAGGGTCAGCACTATTCAGTTCTGAAGCAATTCTTCTGCAATGCAGATAAAAATCCACATTTGTTTTAATTATTCAAATTAGTCCGTTTTTTTTTTATGGCAGTGGTTGAGTTAAAAAACATGCACTTTTGCTGGACACCTCTCGTCTAACAGATATCGTTGAATCAGTGGCAGTTTCTCGCAGCTGACCTGCACGACACACACTTGGGGCCAGATTTACTAAACGGATCAAATTTGCGTGAGAGTGCAAACCCATAAAAGCACCGATTGGAGTGGAAAGTTCTGCGTGTGATCTACTGACAGCACTCAAATGAAAGAACACAGACGCAGCCGGACCATTTCCATAATGACCAACGCAATCTACCAAGAGCAGCACAAATTAGCGTCTGCTTTAAGACATGCTTTTTTGGGCGTTAAATAATGACGCAAATACCAGTAAATTGACTAGCGCTAACCTTAGTAAACCCCTTGCATGATTCATTTAAATACTCTCCTCCCATCATTTTTGCATCTGAAAGAGAATCTCCTCCAAATGCATATGCAATAGGGCCAGATGGAAAAATAACCGTTTTTTTTTTAAATATGTATTTTTAATAATTAACAATAAAATGTTTATTCAACTTTCTTTTGTACGTGGTGTTTTCAGGTGGCTGAGCACCTGAAGCAAATGGAGACGGCAGAAGATGACGAGAATGACCCAGACAAAAGGAACAACATTGTCTTCAATGCCACCTCTGAATTTTGTCGTACTCTTGGAGACATCCCAACCTACGGGCTGTCAGGAAACCGAGAGGACCAAGAGGATATTATGGTACAAACCATCCCAACCCTTCCCTCTTGTGATATGTTTCTTCACCTGTAGGTCTTGATGATTTTGATTTGTTTGGGTTACACAGGACTTTGAAAAGGATGTTGAGAAAGAAGGAGGTGGACAGTCAGACTCTGATATGGATGACAACGTGGGCTGGAGCACTGTCAACCTGGACGAGGAGAAAGTCCAGGCAGATGTGAGTCTTCCGCTCACCTCATTGACTGCAATTCTGTTGGAATGTGAAACCTTTTCTTTAACATGATCTTTTCTGTTATAGTTCTCAACGGCATCCACAACTATTCTGGATGAAGAGCCCATTGTAAACTCTGGTCTCTCTGCTGCTCTGCTTCTGTGCAAAAACAAAGGTGAGAGATGAACCAAATCTGATTTTGAACCTGATAGAATGGGTAATATTGTCTGATTTATTTAAAAATGTATATTTATTTAACCCTTTCAGGGCTGTTGGACACACAGATGCTGAAGGTGGCTCGTGTCAAAAACCCAAAACCAGTTCTGGCAAACGATAACTACTGCATCGAAGACAAGATGTGAGTAGATGTAGAAATACTTTCCCCAGTGGTTCTTGCTGCTTTTTTTCTTTCTTTTTTTTTAAGGAAAAAAGCCACGCCTATTTATTTTTCATTCTACTGCAGGAATATTGATGACAAGTACAGCAGGAGGGAGGAATACAGAGGCTTCACTCAGGATTTTAAGGAAAAGGATCACTACAAGCCTGATGTCAAGATTGAATATGTTGATGAATCTGGTCGCAAGCTGACCCCTAAAGAGGTTTGTGCATGTGTGGTTCTTCACCTATCACATTATTAGATATCACTGCTACGAGTGCTCAGCTTCATGTGTCGTCCTCCAGGCTTTCAGACAGCTGTCCCATCGCTTCCACGGGAAGGGTTCTGGCAAGATGAAGACGGAACGGAGAATGAAAAAGCTTGAGGAAGAGGCGGTATGTTTTCTTCACATCGCCATGCATTTTAGAACATGAAGCACCATTAAACTCGGCACGAAATGGAAGTTGCAATTAGTCTTTTCTTCCCTATTTTGATATAAATGGTTTCTTGAACAAAAAAAATGGAGGCCAGGACTTGTCCATCGGGAATTGATTAGATCGTTGTCGTTTGCTATTGCTGCAATCTCATGTGAGAAAAAAACAAGAATTGTCCATTTTTATTTCATGGTGGCTTTAATTGATGTGGGTCTTTTTTGGTGTGTATATACCACCATCTGTCTTGTCAAACTATTAAGGGTTTTTTTGGCCGTTGTTTCTGCAGCTGCTGAAGAAGATGAGCAGCAGTGACACTCCTCTGGGAACCGTCGCTCTTCTGCAGGAAAAGCAGAAGTCCCAGAAAACTCCTTACATTGTGCTGAGTGGCAGTGGGAAGAGCATGAATGCGTACGTATTCATTCACCATTTCTATTCCATTCTATCTATATTCTGGTTGTTAATTGGTTTTATCTTGCTCTTTTCACAGGAACACCATAACAAAGTAAATCTAGATTCTGGAACCTTAGAACAGGCCTGTCACAGAAGATTTCTCAAAGAAAATGTACTCGTTTTAGCCGTCTCTTAAATGAATAAAGTCGTAACTAGTGATGTATATACAGACATTGTCCTGTGTGTGAATTTAAATCCCTTGATTCATTTCGTGATTCAGACAATTTGCTGTAGAACACTCTTTTTTCTTCATTAAAAACTGTTGCGATTTAAACTGATGTAATATTATTCATGTATTATTACAAGCATTTTTGTTTGTTTTGTAGAGTTTGTAAAAAATAAGTACAATGTACTTATTGTGTCCATGTTGTATTTCAAAACACTTGTGCTGCTATTAATGTGCTATTAACGGGAAGGTTAAGGAGCAGTTTGGTGGTGTGGTTTAGTTTAACACCGTTAAGGTGTAAGAGAAGGCTCAACAGTCTAATTATAGATATAATTACAGAAATTAATTACATGTTACATGTAATTATATGCAGGTATTTTAAAAATGTAATTACATTGAAAAAAACATGCATTTACACAGTAAGTGCATTGCATCAAATTATTAATTTAAATATAAGTTCATAGTAGTTAAGGACACCTAATATAAATTGGGACAAAAAGATGTATTATCAATGTATTATTAAAATAACTGTAGTGCCAGTAGTTCTTAGCTATTGCTGTTCTTTGTGTATTTTAATAACTTATACCACAGTGGTGTTAGATGCTGCATTGCCATCTATTGATGTGGATCAGCATGACCTTTTATGAGTTTACATAAATTACACTAATACTATTGAGTTTTAGACCTAGGTCTACACACTCATTAATTCCCACCTGTCCGACCAAAAATAAGCAACTTTGGCATTAATACAAATATTTCCACCTAGTCTAAGCTGTTCATTAGCTTGTTTTCTGCTCTTCGCATCACCAAACAGCACTACAATACTAGCGTATCTAAAGGCGCAGCAGCCAATGAGCATGAGTATTCTTACCGTGTCCATGGGTCAAGTAATTTCAACATGGGTGACCCACAACATGCCTAATTAAAAATTTATATATGAAAAGTATGAGTACAGTGAGTCATTTGAATGGACACCATTCAGATGATGCTTCTCACACGCAACTTTTATTTTCTTAATGTCTAAAACTTTCTAAATTAGCACCAAACTACTATGCATCTTTAATTGGTATATTAATAATTTATGAATATTCTCATATTTTTCTGACGGATAAGATGGGAACAAGATGTAAAGGGAACAATTGAGAGTGCAAACACTGACAATCAGATTAAGTAAAATTATGTACATAAAGCATGAAAAATTGTGAATCGAGACATACTTTTGTGAAAGTGCAAACAATACGTTTTTATTTATTCATAAAGGTTTCTAGAATATGTTGAAATACAACACAGCAATGGTAGAAGAAGACGCAAGACCATATTTACAAATACAGAAGTGGCCAAAAGTGATATGTTTTAATGACCCTACAAGTTTTAATAAACCATCAAAATATAAGGAAAATATTTTATTGTTTTTAAATATGAGGGAAGAACAAAACACTAAATGTGGTTGAGGTATTTTTCTGACAAAATTATTTGGCAAACTACAGCTACAGGTTTTATTTTACTATGCAAAAAAGTGCATAGAAAAACAAAAAGCTTACATTGACTATACAACATAATCAGTCATTAATATTTAATATTAATAACACTTTTTTGCATGTGTTCTAAATGATGTCCATACAATTTGGCATGTTTCACTGCGTTATCACGAATAAAACAATTGACTTCAAGCACAACTATGCAATATACTTAGAAAATCTGTTACAATTATTAAGTAACATTAAAATGTAAATGTTTCTAGGCCGGACATAACTTTTGGCCACTACTGTACTACTTGTGCTGTGACTTTAGAAAAGAGTCGTTTAAAGCACAAAGCCCAAGCTTTGCTCCAAAACTTTACGCCCATCACTCAGGTTTAAGTAATGTACACTAAGGCAATGCTTGTTGGTGTGATTACTGGTATTTTGTTTTGTATCAGCACCAAGGTACTCTTGTGGCCACTTGGTCCAGAACAGCTATAATTTCTGTCCCTTGGAGCAAATATGATGTGGGGTCAAGAGGAGCATTGACCTCACACTCCCACCCACTCAAAATAGGTAGAGTCAAAGGTGCTGGGTCCGTTTTTACATCAGCATGGTGTTTTCTGTTCTGTGGATGACGCATTGGATTCTCCAGAAGCGATCTGAACTTTGATCCAAGTGGATTCAGGCCTCTGCGACATGGCCTCGGTATTGATCCATCTAGTGGAAATGTGGAAAATGCTAAATGTGTAATATAAATTGAGAAACTATTGTTTTATTGAAGTCTGGAAGCCATCTTACCAATGTTCCAGTATGTTCTGTTGGGTTGTTGTGAAAATTTCAGTGCATCTTCCCTCCAATGATATGTCGTGTTTTCAGTTGAGAATAGTTGATAATTATGCTGCTTACAATTATAAACCTGAAGGAAAAAATTTGTCCAATTACTTAACTTCATTTGAATGTATTTTCAGGGTTGTTTAAACTCAAAATTTTCAATTCAAAAATTCAAATGCAATATGGAATATTAAATATTATCTTATACTTTTATAGAACAGTTGAATGAACAATTGAATTTGCACTAATTGAGTAATTTGTATTTCAGACACAATATTGCTCAATATATTTACTTGTCAATTTTTGAAAATAGTTCCAAATTAAGTCTAAGCATAATCAATGGTTGAGCATCTCAGAGCAACATACAGTGCCGCTTCTGTGCTGAATGAATCCACCAATCAAATTGAAGGACCGTAACTAACTGTAATATAAAGGGAATTTGCATGCACATGAGCACAGTGACAGTACCTTTGAAATTCTGTTCACAAGATCTAAGCTTTCATTCAACTGCTTGGCTGTTATCAGGTTAGTATCAGCGATCCTATGACAAAGGAAATATTTGTTTTTATTAATAGATTGCAAAATGCATAAATATCATTATTGTACACCAGAAAATTACCTTTCTTATTAGACATACTTGTTTGTTAGAAAATAATGACTGACACTTTGTTGGGTATGTGTCAGGCTCTTCGTAGGTAGAAAGACTGTTCCCTCTGAATTCTGCAACCGAGGGTCCAGTTTTTGATGTGGACTGTTGAATGATGGTCCGACTCCACACTCATTTAGTTCGTCACTGTCCACCGTCCCGTCTAAAATGGGAGTTAACAGGAAGTCCTCTCCATGCATGGGAATGTATGGAGCCAGACTGTCCAAGTCTAACTCACACAGATCCTACAGTAAAGCACAACAAATAGGAAGGTTTTCACAATATGTACATTACCGTTTAAAAATGTGTAGTCAGTATTTTTTTTTAAAGAAATAAACATTTTGTTCAGCATGGATGCATTTAATTGATTCATGTTAAAAAAGTTATATTTAAAATAAATGCCGTTGTTTTAAACTTTTTATTCATCAAAGAATCCTGGAAAAAAAAAATCACGGTTTCCACAAAAATATTATACAGTACAACTGTTTTCAACATTGATAATAATAAGAAATGTTTATTGAGCAGCATATTAGAATGATTTCTGAAGGATCATGTGACACTGAAGACTGGAGTAATGATGCTGAATATCCAGCTTTCCCATCACAGGAATACATTATATTTTAAAATACATTAAAATAGAAAAAAGTTATTTTAAATTGTAATAATATTTACAATAAAATGTACTATATTTTTGATCAAATAAATTCAGCCTTTATGCAACATTAAAAAAACCCAACCCCAACTTACCAACCCCAATCTTTGGAACAGTAGTGTAAATATGTTTGGTCTACGAGTACAGTAATAATTCAGTACCGTTGTTTATATATCAAAATACTATATTAACATCTGATACCTCAGAACATTAAGGGTACTCACACAATTGAAAATGCAGCACTCTTCTGTATTATGTGTGATCTCTCTGCAGCCATGAACTTCCTGTATGTCACCCTCTGAGCAAAAGACAATTCATCAGACAATTCATCATCATTATAACCATTTTCAATAACATCATATCCTGTGATATTTTAATATCTGTTAATTTGACCTCTTTGCTTTAGGAGTATTGTAGGAATACTGTGCTCAGTTGATTTGGTTCTAAGGCCTTCTGGGTAAAGTGAATCCTTTGGCTTCAGAACTTGTTCTGTCTGCTCCAGTAAAAATGCTAAATCAGGCTGCTCCACTCCACTACAATATTATGAAGCAAACAAAAAATTTTGTTCAAAAATAAAACAACATACCTTCAGCCTTTTACACATTTAGGGCACATTTACACGACAACAATGTACTAAAAACTGAAAAGTTTCTCCTTTGTGTTTTTCACGTACAGAGGACACCGTTGTCAAAACAATCCCCCTTTACACGGATCCACAAAAACAACAAAAATTGCTGTATTATTCATGCCAGGCCAGTAGTCAGTGATGTCACTTTGTAAGGAAACACACTAGGTGCCATAGACTGAACACGTAATGACGTCACTGTTTTCACAAATTCGCGTTTTTGTCGTTTACACAGAGACAATAATGGTAGAGTTTTCAAAACCTTGCACTTTGAATCCCATTTTCAAAAGTTTTCATTTTCAGGCCTGCAAAACACCATGTCTTGTAAATGAACAGCCAAAACGTATAAAAAGTCTTCCGTTTTAAGTTGAAAACTGTTAACAATCTCTGTTACCGTAAATTGTATGTTTATCTCTGTAAAGCTGCTTTGAAACAATCTCCATTGTTAAAAGCGCTATATAAATGAAGATGACTTGACTTGACTTGACTCGTGTAAACGGCCCCTTGAGATAAAAGTGTCTTCTATAGAGTCTTTACACAACAGTTTTCAACTAAAAACGGAAAACTTTTATGCGTTTTGGCCGTTCATGCACGACAACTGTGCAAGCGCAAGTTTTTGAAACCGATACCTTTATTGTCTCCGTGTAAACTACAAAAACACGTCTTTGTGAAAACAGTGACGTCATGCGCATAATGTGTGCCAGCTACAGGCCTGGCATGCATAACACAGTGTTTTTAATCATGTTCACAGATCCGTGTGAACGGGGATAGTTTTGACAACGTTGGCATCAGTATGCAAAAAAACATTACATTGTTGTTGTACCCTCAGTAACTTACAATACATTTAAGGTATAGTTTCAGTATGTGTATTTCCTGGGAATTTAACCAATCAATGTCCTTGGCATTGCTACTGGCAATTTTCTAACCTAAGAATGTAATTGATGCAGACGACACACTCTGGCACACCAGTACAACTGTTGCACACCACTGACGCGTCTGTCTCTGCCCAAACATAGCCACCGTGCCTGTGCAGCAGCCGATATTTCCCAGTCGACACCTGACCCTTGGAGAGCACTGTTCCGGACAGATATTTGAACATTATTAAAGACAGAGAGAAAAAAAGAAAATTGTTGTCATCATTTACTCGTTCTCATGTCATTTAAAAAATGCATGAAGTTCTTTAATAGAAAAGAGTTTAAAAGAAAATATATAAAATAAAATAACATTGCCATCCATGTTTCGCTGCCTATGGCCTGAGGTGTTGGGTTTCAAGTGGTTTGGAAAAAAATAAAAATAAAAAATAAAATAAAATCTTTGAAATAACAAGGTGAAATGGGTTTGGAACAAGATGAGGCTAAGTGAATTTTCAATTTTGTGTGAACGATCCCTTTAAGGACAGCTTACTTTAACAAATAAAATATTGCTTTTTATTATTATTTAACCCATTTAATAATAAAACAAATTGAATCAAGCATGAATTAATATGACAAGATATCTCTTACAGCAAATGTGTGCCTTGCGGATTTGCTGGCAGTCAGATGGATGATAGTACTGGTACACGGATTGACCCAAGAACTCTGTGTCTCGAAAGCCGGTCAACTTCACAACCCTGAGCCAAAAAAGAGCTTCAAATATAAAGACGGATTCAAAGCAGTTAGCTTTTTGCACTTGAAAGCTGCATGCAGAAGGTTGTACCTTGAGTGGCAGTAGGTGAACTTCATGTCTGGGCTGTGTACGCTCATAAACGTACATGTATTCAGCGCTGCATCCAGTTCAGTGATCTCCTGCATGGGCAGAACCCTGCACTGAAGAACTAGGCAACTGGATCCAAGTGTAGCCAACGTCTTTTTCTTTCCAGTACACTGAATAATCTTCAGATAAAAGCAAAGATTCATTACATTTAATTCATTACATTTATATAGCGCTTTTCTACTCAAAGCGCTTTACATATGGAAGAGGAGAATCTCCTCAACCACCACCAATGTGCAGCATCCACCTTGATGATGCGACGGTCACGGCAGCCATATTGCGCCAAAATGCCCACCACACACCAGCTTATTGGTGGAGAGGAGACAGTGATGAAGCCAATCAGTCTATATAGAAATGATTAGGAGGCCATGATGATGGATAGAGGCCAATGGGCAAATTTGTCCAGGATGTTTGTCCGGGGTTAAACCCCTACTCTTTTTCATAGGACATTCTGAGATTTTGAATGACCAGAAAGTCAGGACCTCGGTTTAACGTCTCATCCAAAGCATGGTGCTTTTTTTTTTGACAGTATGTCCCCATCACTATTCTGGGGCGTTAGAATTGAGCACCCCTGCTGGCCTCACTAACACCTTTTCCAGTAGCAACCAAGTTTTTTCCAGGAGGTCTCCCATCCAGGAACTGACCGGGGTCAACCCTGCTTTGCCTCAGTGGGACACAAGCCTTGGGCTACAGGGTGATAGCTGCTGGCAAACAATGTGGTCTTTTTTACTTTTGCAAACAATGGAAAGAAGCCTTTCTTACTTTCCAAGGAGTCAGCTTCTGATTCATCACACTTTTTATTCTGAGGAGCACTTCACATTCCTGCTGTCCTTGGTTTCCTGAAATATTAGCAGCAAATCAAATCACCGGCACTAGGATAAACCAGCCTAGACCAGCATGGAAATTTATGGTAAAAACTGGTCTTTCCAGCCAGAAGTGCTCACCCATCAGGCTCGTGAGGATGTCTTTGACCTCCATGTGATCACACGGATGCAAGAACTCAAACAAACTCCTCCCGATCCAATCCATCTGAAAGACACACGTTTGGGATTTAATAAAGATGCCAGTAAAGTCATTCCAAGTTCATGGAATTCATTTAGTTTTAGTGTCATCACCTGGTTTATTCCAGTGTGTGTAGTTACGCCCTTAGTGGTGAAGATGACCGTGCCATTCAAAGACAACAAAACCACAAACCCTCCGAGGGCAGAATCTAGCAACTCCCTCTCATGAGATTTAGCCGATACTCCTACAATCACAATGGCCTTTAGAAAACTTGCTTTCTTTCAACCCGTGTTCTACTTTCAAGCCCTTTTCTTTCTACCTGGTGAAGGAGGAGAGGACTGTGTACAGTTGTCTGGTGTGTTCAGAAGACCCCTCAGGTGAAGGTAAGCGATTGTGAGACGTATGACTGAAGCTTTGTCTCGCTTTCCGTCCATATTCGGGCCTAGAGGCAGAAGAGCAGTTAACTCCTCGAACAGCTGACTCTCCTTCTTCCTTCTGCTCCGTGCCGCCAAGCGAGAACATGTTTTTCTCAATTCTGTGCAGACCCTGTATTTAAATTTATGGTGAATTTGAACAACCACAAAAGATATGATGAAGCATTTTTAACATAAACATGCAAACATTTTAAATTAAATTGTTTTAGTTGTATGAGCACGCTGCTGTTGGCCCGATTCTCAACTAGCGTCATTCAGAGGAGGGAACATACACTAGAATCATCATCATTTTCACTGAAGACAGAGGGCAGCGCCGTTACTGATGGAAAAAGAGACGTCATGACTGCGTCACTTTGTCTTATCACTACCAAGCGTGGTTGCCTGCAGCTTCTGATACAATGCCATGCCTTCTGATAATGCCACATGTGCATATGTTTTTACATGCTTTTTTTTTTTTTGCCTGAAAATGTAAATAAATAAAGGTAATAATTGGTAAAATAATTGCTGATATTTGCTGGTGTAATATGAAACTTACTGTGAATTTATAAAAAAAATTTCTTTATTATTTATTCATACAATTATTTCCTTCTCTGCATTTTTCTCTGCTATAGCTTGTTTCCTGCAATCTAGCTTTCTAATAAGACTGACATTGTAAAGCACGAATATTGTTGGCTCTGTAACGACTGCTTTTGCTCCTAAGTAATTTTGGATAAAAATGTCTTCTTTTAATTTATTTTCATTTAATTTATTTTAATAAGAAGAATGAAAACATTCTTAAAACTGAAGGAAAAGGGCACTTTTAAGTATATTGACTATCAAGTGGCATGTAAATAATTCTCCAAATTCCTCTGTTAAACTTTTCAAACTTCTCAAAACCTTTGCATAGTGCCTGGCTGATTTGTTGTTTGGGTATTATCTGAATATTTCATTCATTTGAAAAAGATACTATATGCATGATAACTGAGGGAAATTAACAATCATTTGCATGCTACCAGAAAGTCTACTACATTTAGTTTATTTACAATGTTTGTTTCCTTCCCATTTAAAGCATTTTCATTTTTCGGAGATAAATTAGTTAAAAATAAAACTGAAATGTTTTTAGTATGTATGTCTTGTCCCAATTCCTCAAGTTAGTTCTAATGAATGCATAAAAAAAAAAACAAAAAAAAAAAACATAAAATATTTGTAAATGCAGCTTTAGTGGAATACAGCATGTGACAATCATGATTAAGATTAGTTTTTGTACTCACCTTCTTTTCTTCGGCTCAAAGAACATTTGCTTTCTTCTAGCTTTTCCATGGCACTTTTCTCTCAGTGGATGCCTAACCGTTTCCAAATGCTTTGAGGTCATTTTAATAACTTAAGATGACTCGAGTGATCGTGTGCTCATGTCTGGCATGTTACCAGGTGGCATGTGGTCATACTCACTGTTTGTAATCTCTGGACATACTTGTGTTTATACCCATTTTCTCTGTAGAAGACCCTCCCTTCATGTTCCATGTGACAGTAGGCCATTAATCACCAATAGGTTTGCATCTGTCAAAACAAGATGGTTTTTACTTTTCTGAGAACTCAGATCTTGTAGATTTGGAATAACGGCCACTCATGATTCTAGGAAACCTAAACAGTTTAAAAAAGATTGCATACAATAATTCATATAAGCAATATATAAGAAAAATCCTTTTCTTATTTCCTGTGTGCTGGCAGTTAGCTAAGATAAAGACATAATTGACACTATCATATAAATACAGACAGTGCATGTCGGCACTCACGGTTACATAATCTAGTAATTCAAACAAAGCACAAACACACATTTAGGGGTCTTAGTAGATATTTTAACATTAAAATAAGAAAACGCTTTAAATAATCTATTAACATTCTTTAAACATATCGAATTAATAAATACAACAAATACGACACATTGTACAACTAGTAAAATCTCCAATCATGCAAAAGGGCCGCTGAGTAATTTTAACACCCAAATCAAATCCGAAAACTAACAGAGTTGTTCAAATGCTTGAAACATTACCTTCAAGTTAAACACTCCCCACATGGATCGCTGAAAAACATGTTTGAGTTTGGGCTTGTAATAGTAGTCCATTGTCTGTTGCCCAAACATATCTGTAAGGATAAATTTCATAGTATCACTGCAGATGAACTCTCCATTTTCATGTTGGTCCTTTGATACTTTTCCAAGCACATTACTTTTTCTCTGAAATGCAGATGTATGCATCTAACTTGAAGCATATTTTTGAAGCATTATATTCATACACAGGCATCTGTAAACAAATTCCAAGTAAAACTATAAAGGAATAAATTGTGCAAAATAGTGCCTGATTTGCTCTGTTCTCCTTCCCCTTAGGAGAATGAACATACAGGCAACAAGCGACGTGCCGCCCCAGTAACCTGTTGGATCTATGTGATTTATTGACATTTGCTTTCTGTGATTGGCTTGCTCTAAACCACAGCTTTGTTCACTGAGATGATGCATTCTGCTCAGACTATAAATAAGCACATATGCATGTCAGTTCTGCTAACCAACTTTTTTATTTTGTTTTTTACTAACAACACTTAAAAAAAAGTATTTTTAATCTGCTTATAATGTTGAAGGACATCTACATTATCACAATAAACAGAAATTATTATTTCTATTATTATTATGTATTAGGCTACATTTTATAAAAATTTGAGCATTTGGCTTTACTCTTAGCACCCGACAAAAGAGAAAAGCTGAGTGTTTTGTTTTGAAGTGACTATTGAATTGTGTATTGTAGCTGATGACGGTTCATCAGCAGGTGCTTGGCCCGTTCAAAACAAGAGGTTACTATCTTCTCATCTGGCGCCACTGGGATCCTGTTGATGCCTAGATTCCACAATAAGCTCCATAACCACCCCAAATATCCCATGGCTGGAATAAACACTGGGCTGATTTGAATGTTTGGGAATTATGCTTAATTTTTATAATAACATTCTATTAGAATAGTGAGGGGAACAGAAATTGATGGAATTTCATGAAATATTTCAAACCTGAGGGAAAAATATATATATTACCGTTTACCGCTATAAATTAAGTTCATTAGTAATTTTATAGGTTTTAAGTATGAATTGATTGATTGATATATTTTAATAATTGTATCCATTTTATTTAACTCTATTTGGGCTGGACTATTTCATCCACCAGCATTATTTTATTTTTATACCTAAAAGTATTACCTAAAAAATTATTCTCATCTGGCAGTGACTGCCAAGAAAGCAAACCACAGCACAATAAACAAATAAATGATCCTGGGTGGTCAAGATGCTGTTTAGACCATTCAGATGGACAATTTCCTGTTGACAGAAAGTTTATTTTAGAGTGCTGGGAAATTAATTCCTCTTAAGCACTTGAGTGATAAACACGTCAGTTTAAAAATAAATAAATAAATAGCTAAGTCTGAATCCACTGTTACGAGAAATAACTTAAACAAATACATACATACATTTGTATAATAATATATTAATACATTACAATAAACATAAAAAAGAATCCCCTCCTCCAGTTGCCTTCATTTTCAATAACTCGAAACCTCTTTTTCACCTGCTGTTCCTATTGGATCTCACGCCAGTCAGTTATCTTCCCCGTCGTCTGATTGGCTGAGGGGCGGATCATTCCATTGAATGAGTAGCGGAAGTAGATTCGGACAGACACTCGCTGGTGCTCATTTTGACAGGAGTGAACGCACAATTCAGGTAGAACTTGTGTTACATGCTGTTGTTAATATATGGGATATTGTTTAAAGAGAAAGTGTATGTTCCTTATTGTAGATGATAGGGTATTTGTATAGAAAATTATTTCATATTTGTTTGCATGGCACAGATTTGCGGGATTTCATTGTCTGATTTCCTGCACTATCAAGTGTGCTAACGGTACTAGCTGATGATCAGTTAAGTCCCATAAGTGAAAGAGAAACTCACCGTGTCAATGCTGAGTCACCTTTCAACCGTAAAGCCAATATTTTGACTGTGTATGTCTACAGAATTAACGTTACATATCCAAAAGTATCTACTCAGGACTGTCAACTCTCACACAATTGACACACTGTCCTCACGCTCTCACCGACAGACGAGACAGACCGAGTTACTTTTGATATGAAACAAAGTCTCAGCTTTCAAATTATGTCATTTTTTGAAAATTCAAATAATAAATCCGTTCGGCGCTCTTAAATGTGACGTGACAGATCGCTGTATCGCCTCAGTTCAAGCCACTGTCAATGGTTCAAGCGGCCGGCACGTGAACTGATGATATTTTCCTCTTTACTTCTAACGTTAGTTAACTTAATAGTAAATAAACACGAATGAACATTAGAAGTTATGTTGAAAGATACAGTACAACTTGCCGAAATGTATCATGTCTCATCATGTAATCGATCAATCAATGTTTCAACCGTAGAAAGGGGTCAATAAAACAGCTGGAGAACAATGTCACATGTAACGTTACATTTAAGTTACCTCAGGAAAGCCATTTTAATGATCATAGCCTGTTAGTTAGCTAGAAAAAATAACTGTAGAGAGGCTAATTTTGCTAAATATATGCACTATATTGCATATTTATTATATTTCTACTCATATCATTAAAAAAAGATTATAACATTATTATACAAAAAAACGCATCATATTAATTTGAGTTGATAATTTTAACCTGTAATAATAATACCAGCTGACTGGGCTCCCTTTATGTTTACAGCATTAGCTAAGAGGTTTTTTTCCCCTTGAGAAAAATTAACATGTATGTAGGCCTAGCTACTGTTCCTGATATTTAGCCAAATGAATCAAGATCGGAATCAAATCGCTAGCTTATGAATTGAAATAATGAAATTTGTGTTAGGCAGTAGGCACTAATACAAACAGTAGGCTACAAGTCATTGCACCATGTAAACTTTGTAACATGTTGTCACTAAACTTAATGAAATTCTGTTTAGTTACCAAATGTTTGGACAATCACAATACACTTATTGTGATGCAAGGTTTTACACTTATTGTGATGTAAGGTTTCACACACATCCCGTAAAGATCCCATCAAGACACGTGACATCACGTGTAATGCAGACATTTTTCGTCCTTATTTTGTTCCTTGACGAACACACACTTTTTTCTTTGTTCCTTGAAGCACACAAACTTTCTTCTTTGTTAATGTGCAACGTGAATGTTGATCTGCATTTAAAACACCCGGTCAAAGAATCACGATAACTACGTCAGTGCGACGAGTCAACGACACGTTTTATCACTACAACACACCCCTTACGGGATTGGTCCTGCCTTTTGTTCACACAGGGCGTGGTCCGGGACTGATCCCAGCAATGTTACCAGGTCCTCACCCCGGGATCAATACCGGGATCAATCCCGGGACGTGTTTGCGTTCTCACAGAAGGCACTCTAGCCATTCCATGGCAATTTTCTGAGTGAAATTGTGTGAAAGGGTCTCAAGCTAAACTCAAAAGTTGGCAGCCCAATGGCTTATATTAGCTATGTGTGTGAGAGAGAGACAGAGCAAGTTCAGGATGTAAAGCTATGATGAATCCCCAAATGACCCAATTATAACCATGTAATTTTGTTCTTTTGCATAGTAGGATATTTAATCAGTGACTCCTTCTTCATGCTTTTGTGAATTTTCAGTGGAGAGGGAACAAGCTGCTTAAAGTTTGAAATGGTGGACTCTCAGTATTACCTCCCAAATGACATCGGGATCTCTGCTCTGGATTGCCGGGAGGCTTTCAGGCTGCTGTCTCCCAAAGAGCAATTGTATGCACACTACCTCTCTCGAGCGTCCTGGTACGGTGGCCTGGCCGTGCTGATCCAGACATCTCCTGAGTCTGCCAACATCTACGCACTGCTGCAAAAATTGTTCCGCGCACAGACGCCACTGCAGCTGAAGGCAACGGCGACTGCAGCTGGACTGAGCGCAGAGGAATATCAGGTGAAATGACCTGTTACAAACACCAAAGTTAACATCTCTGTGTTCATTGTCGTAACAAAGTTCTATCTCATTCTAGGCCTTCCTCGTATATGCTGCTGGGATTTATGCAAACATGGGGAACTACAAGTCCTTTGGGGACACCAAATTCATCCCCAACCTACCAAAGGTGAAACACCCTACTTAATATGTGTAATCTGTCATACTTGTATGCAACATCCCAACAGTTTTAGTATTTGATAACTATCCCTTTTTTATATGCAGGAGAAGTTCAAGGCTCTTGTGTGGGAGAGCCTGGTGTTTGAGGAGAGCCCCAGGGACATAGAGGCGCTGTGGGGCTGCTGCTCTGAGCCCCTCTACTCCCTAGAAGACAAGCTGAAACAGCTCGGTCTGGGTGACAAGGTAAAAGAGGAAAAAAGTAAGCCTTTTTTTACAGCTTAGTCTCAGGTTGATGTTTTACTATTCTCTCCTAGGGGATCACGACTTACTTCTCAGGGAACTGCTGCTTAGAAGATGCAGAGTTTGCCCAGAAATTTCTGGACTCCAAG